CCCATGATGGCATACCATTTGCAAAAGTAGACAACCCAAGGTATTGCAAGTGGGGTATGTCCAGTCTTTCTTGGTAGCCACTTAGTCACAAACACTGGCCAAATATTAGTTTTTTGCTTTTTTCACACAAAAACAAATATGAACGCTAACTTTGGCCAGTGTTTGTGACTAAGTGGCTACTAAAAAAGACTAAACATACTTTCAATACCTTGGGTTGTCTACTTTTTCAAATGGTATGCCATTATGGGGGTATTTCTCATTCCTAGGCTACCACACCGTCTCAAAGGTAACATTACCAATCTGGCAAATTTCAATTTGAAAATGGAACGTTCTATATTTGACCCTGTAACTTTCCAAAACACCATAAAACCTGTTAATGGGGGGTACTGTTGTACTCGTGAGACATCGCTGATTACAAATATGTGCATTAACAGTATTATGATATTCACAGCTAAAATGTCAGACGGAAATACAAATTTAAAAAGAAAATCTTATTTTCTCAAATTTTTTTTAAATTTTATTCATAATAAATTATGTTCTATATATGAATAGTTAATGATATATTAGAGCCCTGTTTCTCCTGAACAAAATGATATATAATAAGTGTGGGTGCCCTTAATGTGACAGCGGTGAATTACTTTTGAACAGATATATAGCGCAAATACCAGTTTTTGTTTACGTTTTGTTTTGATCTGAACGTGCACTATTGACTCCGTCCTGAAGGGGTTAATTGCCTTTTTGCAAGTATTATTGGCTTCATTATATCTTATATAGGATGCCTCTGATTTAAATGCCCTTTTCTTATTTTTAATCTTGTTTTACTTCTTTACTAAGCCACATTGGTTTCAATTTGTTTTGTTTAATATTTATTACCCAATGGTACATACTGAGAAATGTACCTTTCTAATATTTGTTTGAAGAGCTTCCATTTATCCTCTGTGTTTTTTTTCACTAAGGAGTTTTTGCCAGTCGACATGTTGCAGAGCTGCCCTAATCCTATTGAAATTGGCTTTATAATTATATGTGCTTTTGCTCTTTTTAGTTTATTTAAAAAATTACTATATTGTAATCACTATTTCCCAAATGATCCCCTCCTTGAATGTTGGTCAAAAGATCAACATTGTTTGTTATAACAAGACCCAGACAAGCATCCTTTCTAGTTGGTGCTTGTACCAGTTGTGACATGAAGGCTGGGCCAGACTGACCCACCAGGATACCGGGAAATTTCCAGATGGGCCGCGGCACCTGGGGCTGGGCTGACAGCCCCATTCAGAACTGATCAGGCTCCTGTGATCCCTGCCGGCCATGTGCGAGCTGTGCGGCCGCATAGGACCCCATGGAAGCAGGGGGAGTCAGACGGCTGGCACAGCTCACACATGGCCGGCCGGGATCATAAAAAAAAAAAAATTATATATATATATATTGCGGCAGGGGCGGGGCTTAGCGTGCGGCGGGGCCCCTGGTTAATGCAGAATGGGAAGCAGGAAGGAGTCCCTGCTTCCCCAACAACCAGCCTCCAGGAGCTCCAAGGGATGTGGAGGTAAGAAGCAGGTCTGTGTGTCTGTGTGTGACTGCCTGTGTGTGTGAGACACTATCTGTGTGTGTGTGACTCTGCTTCTGTGTGTATGTATGACTATCTGCCTGTGTGTGTGTGACACTGTCTGTGTGTGACTGTCTGCCTCTGTGTGTATGTATGACTGTCTGTGTGTGTGTGACACTGTGTGTGTGTGACTGTTTGCCTCTGTGTGTATGTATGACTGTGTGTGTGTGTGACACTGTCTTTGTGTGTGTGACTGTCTGCCTCTGTGTGTATGTATGCCTGTCTGCCTGTGTGTGTGTGACACTGTGTGTGTGTGACTGTCTGCATCTGTGTGTATGTATGACTGTGTGTGTGTGTGACTCTGTGTGTGTGCTGACTGTCTGCCCGTGTGTGTGTGTGCGTGACACTGTGCTGTGTGTGTGTGACACTGTCTGTGCGACTGCCTGCCCTGTGTATGACTGTGTGTGCGACTGTCTCTGCCTCTGTGCGTCTGTGCCTGTGTGTGTGTATGACCTGTTCTTGCCTGACTGTCTGCTCAGTGTGTGTGTGACTGTCTGCCTCTGTGTGTATGTATGACTGTCTGCCTGTGTGTGTGTGTGTGTGTTACACTGTGTGTGACTGTCTGCCTCTGTGTGCATGTATGAGTGTGTGTGACTGTCTGCCTCTGTTTGTATGTATGACTGTCTGCCTGTGTGTGTGTGACACTGTGTGTGTGTGACTGTCTGCCTTTGTGTGTGTGTGTGTGTATGTATGACTGTCTGCCTGTGTGTGTGTATGTGAGACACTGTCTGTGTTTGTTTGACTGTCTGCCTCTGTGTGTGTGTGTGTGTGTGTATGGCTATCTGCCGGTATGTGTATGACTATCTATCTGTGTGAGTGTGTGGCTATCTGCCAGTGTGTGTATGACTATCTGCCTATGTGAGTGTGTGGCTATCTGCCTGTGTGTGTTTGACTGTCTGCCTCTGTGTGTGTGTGTGGCTTTTTGTGTGTGCGTGTGTGGCTGTCTGCCTGTCTCTGTGTGTGTGGATGTCTGCCTCTGTGTGTGTGTGTGTGTGTGTGTGTGGGTGCCTGCCTCTGTGTGTGTGTATGTTTGTGTGTGTGTGCATCTGCTAGTGAGTGAATGAGCTTTTGTGTGTGTGTGTGTGTGCACCTGCTAGTGAGTTTGTGTGTGTGCTCTGCTAGAGAGTGAGCATGTGTGTGCAGTGAGCTTGTCTGTAGTAAGCTTGTGTGTGTATCAGAGTTTGTCTGTACTAAATTTGTGTGTGTACCAGTAACCTTGTCTGTGTGTGTCATTGAGATTGTCTGTCAATGAGCCTATTTGTGTGCATCAGTAAGATTGTCTGTGTCTGCATGTGAGTATGCTTTACTGTATAATTTAATTACCCTAAAAGGACTAATATTTTGAATTGAAAAATAAATATTCCAATAATATATATATATATATATATATATATATATATATATATATATATATATATATATATATATATATATATATATATATATATTATGTTCTATATATGAATAGTTAATGATAAATTAGAGCCCTGTTTCTCCTGAATAGATATAATATATCGGTGTGTATATATAGATATGTATGTGTGTGTGTGTATATATGCTATGTAGTGTGTGTTATATAACTGAGGTTATATAACACACACTACATAGCGCAATGACTTATGGGGCTGCCATAGATTTTTTTCCAGGGCTGCTTCGTGTCCCCAGTCCGGACCTGCATGAAGGTGTCATTTAACACATTCAAAAATCTGATTCCCCTTGCTGAAGTACTAGTCACTCTATCCAAATTTATGTCTGGGTAATTAAAATCGTCAATAATTAACGTGTTACCCCAATTTGCAGCTTTCACAATTTGCTCCAACAGCTGTTCTTCCTCATTACTATTTACATTAGGTGGTTTCTAACATATCCCAACCAATAATTGATTTCCCCTTGTTTGCCCCAAGCAGATATCTACCCATAAAGCTTCCACATTTTTCTCGTCACACTCCACATGCCTAAGATTTGACTTTAACTCATGACATACAAACATACCCCACCATCCTTCTTGTTTTTCCTATCCTTCCCAATTAACGTGTACCCATTTAAGTTAACTGCCCAGTCATGTGTCTCATCCCACCATGTTTGTGTTATGCCTATTATATCATATTGTTTAGTGTATGCTATTGCCTCTAATTTCCCCATTTTGTTATATAGGTTCCTTGCATTAGTAAGCATACATTTAATATTAGCATGAGTCATTTGTACTTTTTGTAAATTTTTATCAATATTACATACCTTTTCTGTTCTGAGTGTTCCCCTCCCCCATCTTCACCCCTCTTATACTGCTAAAGCCCGTCTCCTTTCTATCCTATCTCCATTTTTCAGATTGCTTACTACTTCCCCTACTTCCAGTTTAAATTCTCCTCCAACCTTCTAGCCATCCTATCCCCAGCACAGCAGACCCTCTTCCGTTTAGGTGCAATCCATCACTGCTATACAGTTTGTACCCAAGTGCAAAATCGCCCCAGTGCTCTAAAAACCCCAAACCCTCTTTCCTGCACCGAGACTTCAGTGGTGGAACTACAGCAGCTTGTGCAGCCATATCGGTGCCCACAATCTTGTCCCTCAACTCGTTGGGTTTTGTGTCCGTTTAACATCACCACTGTGCCCCTGTTAAACCGGCAGTGCTGGGAGGAAATTAATACAAGTCACTTCCTCCCAGCTTACAAACAGCTGAACAAAGAGGGCTAGGGGGAGAGAGGAAGTAGAGCCTCCATCAGTCATAGACTACCAATCCGTCTCAGCCAGCAACCAGATCCCACTGAACCCAAAAAGTATGTTAACAGGAGCATGGCTAAAAAAAAAACTGCAGTCTCAGCCATGTAAGTAATTTGTCACACCTTAGATGTAGCCACAGTGTCCATTCAGCTTGCATCTACTCCATGGATTGAAGAATCCATTTCTTTTTTGTCCCCCTTCCATCCATGTTTATGTTCCCATACTTTCATTTCTTTTCTTACCCCTTCTTCCATGCTGTGGATGTAGAGTGTATTGTATGCAGTAAGTGCTGGGGGTGAACCATTTAAATTAAATTGGTCTTATTCCCCCCTCCCTGCCTCTAACCTCAGGATTGGAAGGGAAGGACAGTGTGTAGGAAGTGACAGTATAGAGGGGCAGTATGCAAGAAGGGGACAGTGTGGGGGTCACTGTGTAGGAAGGTGACAGTGGGGAGGGCAGGTTGTGGGTATGACAGTGTGGATGTGTTATGGGCAAATGCAAATATTACAAGTTTTAGAAAGAAATGTTGTATTTCTTAAACTGTGTACTTTGTCTTTAAAAGATATTGGAAATTCACAAGGTTTTAGAAATGGAACATATCGTTTTTCATAACTGTTTCTTTAAGCAATAACCTCAGTGCATAATATGTTTGCGCCATTTTGTCCCAGACGAATTACAATAACAATAATGCAACAAGTTTCAAGGCTATGCTATGACTCTTTCAGTACACAATATACTGTTGTAACCCCAAGTTAATGGAACTTCCCCAAATCCGGGAATCTCCCACGACTGTGCACTTACGACTTATTATAAACAACAGATAAGCTATTCAGACTTTATGATGCCATCTTGAACTAAGTCAGGAAAATTTCCATGACGTATGCACCCTTTAGTTATGGCCTTGTATGTTTGCCAAGTTAAGGGAGGTCCTAAAATGAATACAGTAAAAGAAGTGTTACTTTTTCATATTTGAACTACGGTAACCATAAAATGGAGACACCTAAGGTATAAATAGGTGTACTTTTAAATCTTAAGATACAGAGGAGAGACTTGGAGACAGACGCTGCTCCATCTTAAAATGACAGAGAGGCTGACACGATGACATGTTCAGAAGGGTATGTTAACCTATTAATAATATTTGCAAGCATTTAGTTTAATATTATAAACTCTGCTATAATGGATTTTATATTTATATTTTTATATAATAAATGTCCAAAAAGACAAAACTATTGCTTCCAAGACAATCCTTATTTTATATTGTATTCTCAATTGTTTATATATGTTAAATAAAGGATCTCTTACTAACTATATAAAATTATGGCTAATATATCTGTATGGTTAGCCCTACTAAGCTCTATGCTTTAAGACATTATAGTGGTAAATAAGGGAACCACCTGCAGTTACAGATGGACAGACTGACAGACAACATCTCACTGATACACATACACTGACATACACTCACTTACAGACAGTCATTGTCTCACACACGGTTTAACTAACACACACATTCACTGACAGACACACACTGACACAAACACACTCTCAGAGACACCTGCACTCACTGACATACACACCCTCACTCACTGACAGACAGAAAGACACACACAGTCACTGACAGACACACCTATACTACAGATACATACTGACAGTAACACACACATTCAATGACAAACACACAAATGTCACTGACAGAAATGGACTCTGATTTGACAGACACACACACTGACAAACACAAACACTCAATGGCAAACACACTCTTACTAATTTGACAGACACAGAAAGACACACACACACTCACTGACAGATACACACACACACATTCACTGACAGACACAAACACACACATTCACTGACAGACACAAATACATGTTTTTGGGGCACGGCATTATGTAAGAGGGCCCCATCAGCTCCCCCCCCAGTGACGCCTTTGCCTGTGGCAGTGCGTCTATATGTTCATACATCCCAGCATTCAAATTGTAAATACACCCTTGCATTCAAACGCCCACACTTCTCACAAATACATCCTTGCATCGAAATGCCAAAACTACATACAAACATACTCCTGCATTCAAGTACCAATATCATATACAAACACACTTTGATGATATGGACCCCTGGAGCAGTCTCTCCCCCTAGTGTATCGTCTAGAAGGGATCTTTGAGGAGACAGAATGAACCTATATCTCTGACAGCTGGGCTTGTTTCAGTCACTGGCCCTTCTGCCAATGCCCCCTCCTTTCAGACAAGTATCAACCCCTCTGGCTGTCTAGTTTCAGGGAACTGTGCAGCCAGAAAACAGGTCCTAAAACTCTGCTATTGGAATCACTAAAAGAACCAGACAGGACAAACAGTTCATAATGGAACACACACAAACCTCTTTATTGTGAACACGGACAAGCTTTTACACACTCTCCATTAAACATATGGTGAAAATAACATAAGCATTACATTGTAGAGGTAAATGGCAATTGACAATGAGGCTTGCTATTTGATATACAACATAACTGTTGCAAGATCGTTAATAACCAAGTGGTGCAGCACAGGCCCTATAACCAAATCCATCTAGCAATATAAAAATACATAATTTGTAAATTGACTAAATTGGCATCAGCATTCAAATGCCAACACTATTTATAAACACACCCCTGCATTCAAACACAAATATTATATACAAACGCAAACATTATATACAAACACAACTCCTGCATTAAAACCAAAATATTTCGTTATTTACGTGTGTCTGTCTATTTGTGTCTATGTGTGTATATATGAATGAATGTGTGGAAATAATGTATGTATATGTGAATATGAATGTCAGTGTGTATGCGTAATTTCCCTTGCTGTTTAGAGAACAGAGGGGGGATGCCAAAATAATTTACTGCCTCTGGTGCTGTGTAAATTACATATGTCACTGCCATCGCATGTAGTATTGTGCTCACAGCTGTTGAAAAGTGTGCATCAACGATGCCAAATGCCAGACAGCTTTTAGTGAACTCGACTACTGTTCATGAGAAGGAGGGGACCTTTCGCACCATTTGCTCCAGGGTGTAGACAATCATGTGTGTCCTGCATCATCTTCTGGGTAAATACAGAGATTTATATATTTGGCCCATGTCAGCTGCCCTGGACACTGACTGACATTTATAAGTAGCAGATGTTAAGGTCCATTCAGGTAAATGTGTGGTGAATTAGTCAGGAAATTGCAAAATGCCAAGTCAACTGTGTAGGAAAAATATTTGTATTGGGAATTAGTTTTTTTTTTTTAGTAAGTAGACTTAATTGCAGTGTTGGCAGTTTGTGCACTCGGTCTTAAAAAATTTGTGAATACTGTAATAGAATTTAGGTATAGTAGAGCCATGGTTTCTAAAATGTAACAACAAATTTCTAACTTTTTTGAAGGCTAGCCAAAATGTTACACATAAACGGTTTCCTTGGAATCTAAAACAACTAAATTTCTGGCTCCTAAAAAAAGATTTGTCAGCAGAATTCAGCATATAATTATAATTTCCTGTAGCAAAATTAGTAGTATATATTAAAAATATTTTCAGATTACTTTGTACAATTTAGTCAGTGTTGTCTTCAAATTATGACAATATATCTTGCCATATAACCTGCATAAAATAGTTTACAAAAAAATGTACATGCTTATAATTTTTGGTAGTGGCAAATTATAATTTTAAGGACGTATGGAAAAGTAATTTATATTCGTGAACTTTCTTTCACAATACTACATTTATAGTTCTATTTATATTCATGGAATAGGTCATATAATTATGAGAAGCATAGCTGGTTTTAACTTCTATACGTATATCAATGAACAAGTGAATCACAGTATAATAAGTATATTAAGATTCACAATAGTGTTCTTGAAATCCTCATACAACAGAATACATAATAAAACCGCAATCTGTAGGAAGATACTATCTATGATATGCCTGAGGTAAGTGTGAATCCAAATAATTTTTTAGTTCCAAAGGAATATGAACAGGTGAAGTCCATCTGACATCTGAGTGAATTTGATAAGAATCAGAGGATCCATAGTGTCAGCAAACTGCCCAGCAGCACAGCAACAGACAAAGCTGCAAACAAAAGCATGGTAATGATTTAGATTTTGTAAGGCACATGTTATAAATGATGCATCGTTTAACAGTGCAGATAACTGTACTGTGTACAAAATGTTAACCATTAGTAAGAATTAATAGTCCCATTGGCCCACCTGAAAATACTAATTTAAAGGAACACTATAGCGTAAATACAAAGGTATATTCCTAATGCTATAGTGCCCTGTTAAAAGTTTAAAGTGCCTTCCCCCTGATCTGGAAGAAGTAAAACAGCAGTTTTACTTACCTTTTGTCCCGCTGATCTCCATGCTGCTGTCTCAGCCCTATGGCTGAGATTATTAAGATTGACAATCTCAGCCAATCCAATGCTTTTACGTAGGAAAGTATTGTGAAGCTAGTGTGCATGTGTTCCAAAACATCACACAGTGCCAATAAAATGTTCTTTATAAGACCATTTGATTGAAATAGCAACATTTCATTCCGCTATTGCGGCAGAAGCATCTCTAGTGACTGTCAGAGTGACATCCAATACGGGCATTTAAATACTTCAATGTGAAATCGGTGTAGCGCTATATACATACATATAATAGGGTTGAGCCTAATAGAATAGTCAGGCTTCCAAATGAGGGTAATTCCAATATCTTTATAAGATATTGGAATTACCCTCATTTGGAAGCCTGACTATTCTATTAGGCTCAACCCTATTATATGTATGTATATAGCGCTACACCGATTTCACATTGTTTTTACCTTTTTCCTATATTGTGTGATCCTTGTCACCAGGTAGCACGGTCCTCTAGGGCAAAAACATGCACAGTCCTTGAAATTGCATATACTCAGGCACTTTATTTGTAAATCCACACAGGATACAGCAGTTAAATGAAAACATAAATGTAACAGAAAACCCTATAAACAAAAACCTAGCTCGTCTGAGCACTAACTGACATAAGTTTCCCTATCTCTCAGGGTTAAACTAAACAATATTGCACCAACCTTTTAGATAGCAACACTCTGCTATCTAACCTGTTGCTTTCCTTTCTGCACTCCCAGTGCTCCAAGCCAGCCTTGCCCTGACTGCTTTCCTTTCTGCACTCCCAGTGCTCCAAGCCAGCCTTGCCCTGACTGCTTTCCTTTCCGCACTCCCAGTGCTCCAAGCCAGCCTTGCCCTGACTGCTTTGCTTTCTGCACTCCCAGTGCTCCAAGCCAGCCTCTCTCCTACCTGCTTCCTGGGAGGAAGCCAGCAATCCCTCTCTACCTGTCTAGCAGGGAGGAGTTTATTCCCACTGCAACAGCTCATTAACTGCAGCTGTGCAGTGGGTTGGAGACAGTCCAAAAAACCCTGGCCTGGATCTATGTCTCCCCAGAAAACCACTAAACTGTGGAGTGGAGCATTGGCCCACCCTTCTCTCCAAATGCTCCACCCCAGGGGCCCATAACTAAACAGTGTTTTGTGTTGTGCAACACACAAACTACACGTACTTCCCCTGGGGTTAAAAGGCCTATCTGCCTTCACTTTATCACATATCCTCCCCCCCAGCTCAGACCCATCGGGTCGAGCGACCTTAGAACACAAACCACGAATGTTCACGTCACCTGGGGCTGTACCAGCCCTGACTTGCTCCTCAGTTACAGAAAGTGGCCTATTGCAGATGGCTGCTACCTTGGTCCCTTGTAGTTTAAGGAACCCCCACCCAAGTGGATAACCCAAATAGTTAGCTGCCTCAAATCCTAGATAACACTTAGTGTTAGCAGTCAGACCGGCAGCCCTTACATTATTTACAACTAATTGGACCTTCATCAGGGGTACTTCCAAGTCCACCCTGTGAATCGCCACATCACCAAGGTAGGCAGCGGCATTCTCTCCGTGGGGCCAAAGTATCTTATTCATATGCTGAAAGGGGGCTGGTGCACTATGCCACCTGAATGGCAGTACTTTATGTTGCCATAACCCCTTGGGAGTAGAAAACGCTGTCCTTCCCTTTGCTGTCTCTGTCAGAGAAACCTGCCAATACCTTATGACCAGGTCCAAGGTACTCAGAAACCTGGCCTTACCTATACGCTCTTGTGTTTGAGCTACATGTACTACAGGGCATTTAACTTTTACTACCTCTGTGGCAAACTCTACCTCTGCCATGGGGTATGTGCGGGTGTCACCATGTGTACCCACAATATCAAACACTTGTCTTAAATCACATTTTTCTGGCTGGAGCAGAACACTTTTCAAAGTAACCTCACTCCTTGAATCTATCAATGTTTGTGCACTCTTCTCTACCACCATCACCACTTTTAGCTGTGCTGTAACACCACCACCAGTCACCATACACATCTTTAAGCAAGGCAATACTATCCTATGCAGAGCCCTTATTCCTATGTCACATTGTATTGGCTCTTCAGTCTCAGGACAGTTATATGCAATATGTCCTTGCATGTGGTAGTTGAAGCATCAGAGGTTTTTCTCAGTCTGGTCTCGTAGCCATAATGGGACTTTTG